TTTAAGACGGCCGGCACCCCGGCCCTAGCACATCTGCCTCTTCCCTCCCTCCACCGCCACTCAAGCCCGTTAGCCATGCCCCCACGCGGCCGCTACTAAACGATCTAGCACCATCTCTTCCTCCTTGAGCAGGTCCGGATCCGTAAGGAAGCGAGGGTAGCTACCTCTGGAACCGGAGGAGGATTTCAAGGAGGTTGAGGAGGAGGTGCTGGGGGAGGAGGAAGAGGAGGAGGAGCAGGAGCCGACGGAGGAGGAGCAAGAGCAGGAGCCGGCGGAGGAGGAGCAGGAGCGGCGGAGGAAGAGGAGGAGGCGCCGCCGCTGGATGTCGGGGAGGAGGAGGCGCCGACGATGGAGGAGGACGTGGGCGTGTGGCCGGAGCAGCACACCATCCTGAACTCCATCCGTTTGGAGTCGGCTGCGGAGGCCAGACGTCGCCGTCGACAACAGATGGAGGCGGTGCAGGCGGCCCAGGCTCCAGCGCTGGCGGCTCCGGCTCCGGCCATCACCGACAACGAGGAAATTTGAGTAGTATAGAACATAGTACGTAGCTGTATATCTGCATGCTTTTGTATGGATTAAGGGGATAAATATGAGAGTTGTAGGTGGAGAAGGAAATATGAGGCGTGCTTGGTCAGTGCCTGCGGACGCGTCCAGGCACGTACGCGGGTGTTTGTGTGGCCGGATTTGCCAAGTACTTGCCAAATACGGTTGTAGATGTGTTGTAAGTAGTAGGAAGTAGGGACATGCACTCGCTCAATAGACATACATAGACGTACAGTATATATATGCCCACACATGCGTGGCGGACAGTAACACGCAATGGTAAAGCAAAGGGCACACACAAACCATATGGGATGGGAGTCGATGATGAATGGATGCCAGGAACGGCTCCTCCGGCGACCGGCGTCAATCCTCTTTCTCCCAGAATGATGGGAAACTTGGAGCATCTTTCTTTTCTGCTATGTTTCCCGCTTCTTGGTATTGTTTTTCGGGTTTGTTGTGTATAAGCTTGAGTTTGTTCTTATTTTTTTTCATCGCTTCTTTCACCACATCAGGGATAAAATCACCATTGAACTCGAGCTCCTTCAGTTTTGCGATATTTTCAATGCCGGAGAGTGTACAGGACCAGATGATTTTCTCGAGCTTAGTAGCAGATTAGCTAGTAAACCGATACTTGTGATGACAGAATAGTCGACGATAAGAAGGTTTAGCCTTGGGAAGTCGTCTTTGTAGATAAGCTGGCTCTGTACATAAGATATTTCCTGGAGTACTAAGCGGCACATGTTAGGTATCTTGGCAAGAATTTCAACCTCATCTTGACTCAGAAGTGTACGACACAGAGTCACCTTTGATATGTATTTTGCCTTGTTAAACAATGAAAGTGTATTGCTGTTTTTCAACTCAACTTCCTTGAGTTCCTGCAGGTCTTTGACTCCAGAAAGATACTGTAGGCGCGCCCAAGGTTTTGATTACCGAATGGGGCATTTTTACCAAGGGGGACAGGTAAACGTGGTTATCACGGTTACCACAAAATTTCTAGCAAATTTCGAACGAATTTCAAACAAAATTTATAATTCAAATTCTTCCAAGTAGATATAGATAGCACTTGAACAGAAATCCCTTTTGGAGCTCGGCCTCCAATGAGGCCTCCAAATTCAAATTTGAAATTTCATCGAAATTCATATTTTTACATTTCAAAAAATTATGAAATAAAATACAGATATACATGAAGGCATAACACACATGTGTGTAAATTTTCAGTTCAAAATACATTGAAATGAGGGCTGTGCAAAAGAGACAATTCTGGGGCTGTTTAACACATGATACTATTCATCCTCCAAGACCATGAATTTGTCTTTTTTGTACAGGTCACAACTCAAGGTATTTCATCATAAATTTTTACACACATGTGAGTTACATCCTTACATACACGCATATTTGTTTTCAGATTTTTTTGGAACCATAAAGTTTGAATTTGAATTTTCAAAAATAAGGGCCTCCATGGAGCTCAGCCTCCAAAACGCCTTCCTTGCAGTTGAACTTATATTTATCTTAAAAGAGCTAATAGCTCAGTGGAATGTCTACGCGAGTTTTGTGAGGTGTTGCCATACTTTACTTTACATTGAGCATTTGAATTCAACAACTTCAAAAAATTCAATTTTTTTTGCTCGGAATGACCATTTACCGAGGGGACTGAAATATGTGGTAACCATGGCAAATCTTGAAATTTCGAGCGGTAACCAAAAACCCTGGGTGCACCATCCGTGGAGCACACACCAACCTTCTCAAGCTTAGAAGCTCCACCTTCAAAGCTGATGTCAGTCATGTTGGGTCCTTCAACAAGAAAGCACTTGAGATTTTGAAATTCCTCCTTGCTGAAGGTGAGCTTGCTATCCAAGTATGCCTCATCACGGATCCTAAAACAGACTATATTGGGCAACTTAGCAAGGATCATCAGATTAGCCTGTTTCAGCTTGGTTCTAGTTAGAGTTACCTTGGCTAGTTTGAAACTTTCTTTGGTCAGATCAGATGCTTAAGAAGTTGCCCCCTCTGTGTGGTTCCTGTAATACTTAGACTATGAGGAAGCTTGGGAGGGTGTACTCAGTGTTTGAGATCTTTTTCTGTAAAGTCTTCATTGGAATGTTCTTACGTAGTCATTAGAAAAGTGAGTGACAGAGACAGGAGGCACTCGTGCAGGCCCCTGATGGCTCGAAGCAAATCCCTAATGAATTTGTCCTTGTGTTCAATGAGCACACCAAGCATTCTCAACTGCCACAACTTTCTAATAACATTCAAATCTTGAATATTTTCTACCATGACAATGGACAGTACCTCCATGTTCAACATTTTTCCGATATTGTGAGGAAACTTGACACTAGATAGTTGCCCGGAACTTAGAACAAGGCACTAGCCAACAAACATTTCAGCTTCAGTAGTAAACCATTTACTGTTGAAGACGCAGGCACATTTGTTTTGGGGATATCCAATACTTCCAGCTCACGGAGATTATTTATGTGCCTCGGCAGCCAGGTAGCATTTGATGCCCTTAGGCTCAAATACTTGAGCTGTAACATCTTGCTGCAGATGTCCTTGAGGTAGCGACCGTTCTTCCCACCAAAGCATTGACAACCTTCTAGATCTAGCACATTGATAAAGGATACTTGAGATGATTCTTTTATGAGCTTTTGGAAGAATTAATCGATTTTATCGGAACTGTGGAGTTGATTTGGTCCCTATCAAGAAGAGATGCCCAGATCTGCTTGCACAAGCCGCGGGGACTCAAAAACTGAGAGCTCAGAATATGTCAGAGGAGATTGCTGTGGGATCACATACAGGAGACCCGCAGATCATTCGTCTCCTAGATGTACCCCTGGCAAGCAGGAGACGTGGGGATGAATTCTCGACCCTTCCGATGTCGGCATTCCCTCAGGCAGTAGAGACCTCCAAATCCTTGAGCACAAAAAACACACCATTACATATGCTTAATCTTAGTTACATGGTACACATGTACACACCTCACGCGATTACATACAATGATGCTACACTTACGCTCAATCCATACGGGATTGTTGTTACAGGAAGGTGTGTCAATATTTGTAGGAGATTTCTAATATGTTCGAAATTCCTAAAATGTTCATATTTTTCAAAAAATTCTTCGTGTTTTGAAATATTGTTCAATGTTGTCAAAAAATGTTCATGTTTCAATCATGTCCAGATTTTTAAAAACATTATATGCAAATAGTACAAAATGACCGGGAGTTTTTTAAAAGCCGCTACATTAAGTGTAGCTCTTTTAGGGGAATTACGTTTTTTAGGCAATTTAGGAGAATTACATGTTGCCATAGTATTCATGAAAAACACTACAGTACGTGTTGATTCAATACACGTGAAAAACACTACAGCGCGTGTCTAGTGGGCAGTAGCAATGACATGGCCCTGATTGACCAGCGCTAATACTATGTGGGCCCGGCCGTGCCCAACTGGCCGGCCACAGAAGCAGTGCGGATCACCGACCAGCTCTACTCCTAAACACATTAGCTGTAGCGCTCGCCCATGACCCGCCCTGCTATTGTGGCCAACCCGTGCCCAGCTCCCCGTCCCTACTTAGCAGCAACGCTAATCTGCTACCCGTGCTATAGCTAATAGGTTAGCAGTAGCGGGGCCCAAGCCCCCGCGCTGTTGCTAAACCCGTCTTATCCTCTTCTCGCGTGGTCGCCCTCACTCTCCCCACACGGTTGGAAAAAAGAGAGGTTACTCGTGAGTTGACCGTGAGAAAATTAAGGGCGACCGACGAGCTCGGCGGCGCTCCTGCAACGGCGGCTCTTGACCGGAAGCGGGATCTGATTTGCAAGATTTTGGCTGAAAGGTATGGACGATTGTTGTTGGGTATGGGGACAACGGATTCGATCTGTATGAGATTGAGATGTTTAGAGAAGGATGTAAGCCATGACTCGCGTAACTCAAACCTCTCCAGAGGAAGGCGGGTTGATCTCGATCGATTCGAGACGCGATGCCAGGAACTGATTGGTTTTGGTCTCTTTCAAGAAGAGATGCTGGGATCTGCCGCACAGGCCGCAGGGGACAGAGCGCAGAATATGTCAGAGGGGATTCGTTCTTTTCCTGGATGTCACTTGGCAACCTGGAGACGAGTGGATTAATTCTCACACCTTCTGATCTCGTCATTCGCTACCTCCAAATCCATGGGCACAAACAGCACACTATTACATATGTTCAATCTTAGTTACAGGGCACACATTACATTTGCTCAATCTTAGTTACAGGGCACGCATGTACACACCATTGCGGCTGCTAAACTTACTTACAGGGAACACATGAACACTACACACCATTAAATATGTTCAATCTTATTTACAGGACACACAGGTAGAATAAGGCACACTGGACAGAAACACACAATAGCAAACCAAAGAGCACACACACAAACCATACCATGGGATGGGAGACGATGATGAATGATGATACGAACGGCTCCTCGGGCATCAATCCTCTCTCTTCCAGAATAATGGGAATCTGTGAGAATCTTCCTTTTCTGGTATGTTACCAGCTTCTTGGTGTTGGTTTTCTGGTTTGTTGTGTATAAGCTTGGGTTTGTTGTCATTTCTTTTCAATGCTTCTTTCACCACATCGGGGACAAAATCACCATTGAACTCGATCTCCTTCAGTTTTGGAAGGTTGTCAATGCCGGAGAGTGTACCCTTGGTGTAGGACCAGATTATTCTCTCGAGATTAGTAGCAGATTGGCTAGCAAAGACGATATTGGTGATGGCAGAAAATTCGATGACAAGAAGTTTGAGCCTTGGGAAGTCGTGTTCGTAGAAGATGTGTTGGCTCTGTACATAAGATATCTCCTTCAGTACTAGGTTGCGCATGTTAGGTATCTTGGCAAGAATCTCCAGCTCTTCTTGACAAAGAATGGTATGACACAGAGTCACCTTGGAGATGTTTTTGGCCTTCTCAAACAGTGAAAGCTTATTGATGTTCTTCAACTCAACCTCCTTTAGTTCCGGAAGGTCTTCGACTCCACAAACTGACAGTAGGCCATCGGTGGAGCACAGAACGATCTTCTCGAGTTTATGTGCCCCACCTAAGTTGAGGACAATTATGTTGGAACCCTCAATAAGAAAGCACTTGAGATTTATGAATTCACCATTGATGAAGGTGAGGTCACTATCGATGTATGCCTTGTCTCGCAGCCTGAGACATGCTAATTTGGGCAGACTGGCAAGGACCTTCAGATCAGCCTTCCTCAGCTTGGTACCAGATAGAGTTACCTTGTCAAGTTGGAGCTGGTCACTATCTCTGGTGAACAATTGAAGAAGTTGCACTGTTTGTGTGGTTCCAGAAATGCTTAGGCTCTCAAGAAGCTTGGGAGTGTTTTTATAGTGCTCAAGAACCCACGATGTGAAGACTTTGCTGTCCTCTGTACTGGGAAGAGTGATTGACAGAGACTTGAGGCACTCATGCAGATCACTAATAGCTCGAAGAAAATTCCTGAGGTGTGGCTCCTTGTTTTCGATAACCACACCAAGCTTCCTCAGCTGCCACAACTTTCCAATATCTTTCAAATCTCTTCTTTTTCTTGCCTTGACATTGGACAATACCTCCATGTTTACCATTTTTTCGACCTTCTCAGGAATCTCAACACTAGATAATTCAGTACTACTTGCCCCTGAACTCAGAACAATGCGACCAGCCAACAAACGCTTCAACTTCAGGAGTAAGAGATTTACTGTTGCAGATGGAGGTACATTGGTCTCTCTGATATCCAATACTTCCAGCTCACGGAGGTTGTTGATTTCAGTGGGTAGATGGGTAACATCTGTTCCCCTTAGGCTCAGATACTTGAGTAGTAACATCTTGCTACATATGTCTCTGAGGTAGCTTTGGTTCTTCCCTCTAAAGCATTGGCAACCTTCCAGATCTAGCACCTTGATCAGGGACACTCGAGATGATTCTTCATAGAGCTTATCAAAGAATTTGTCTATTTTATCTGAGCCACGGAGTCGAAGGTCATTGAAAATGGAGAAGCGGAGAGCCAAGTGATGTGACAGGCGTGTTTCCACAATCCGCCGTTTTCTAGCAATCCTGGTAATGAATGCATGAACTAGATCACCAATCACACAACTCTTTATCTTTCCTGTAGCACCAATATCAGCAGCATAAATAAGCCATCGATTGATCAGCGCATCAAAACATCGATTGGCATGACGCACAGAACTGGCCCAGTCTTCCTTCGTAATCAGCCCTTCTACAACCCAACGTCCTATTAAGGTTGACCGCCTGATGCGTTGCCGCCGAGGAAAAATAGCTAGGTACAGCAAGCAGGACTTGTATTCATTAGGAAGATCACTATAAGAGAACTTGAGCATCTTATTAGCAATTTTTTCTAACGAGTCATCTGGAACCTGCTGCAGGGTTGTGTGCAACTTGATTAGCTCTTCCTTGCTTCTCTTGGGGTTGGCGTTCAAAGCATGAACGAAGATCTTCATGCAAAATTCCTGTTGCTTACACTCGCCCAAGATGTCAAGAAAAATCCGCGGGCTATCTTCAATCATGTGCTTCTTTGTAAGCTCGAGTGCAGTATCATGGTAGAGGCCAAGAAGAGAATAGTCTATGGGCTCCCGCTCCGGGCAGCAATATTTTTTGGCTCGATCAGCATTTATTGTTGTGTTCAACAACAGTACACCGGCTATGCGACCCATCAAGCTGAAAGCATTTCTCAACTCCGTCCACCCAGACACATAGTCATTATCCAGTTTTAGGATAACCAGAATCTGACCATCTCGGCTCTTCAAACAATCATTAATTTTGTCCATGATCCTTTTGATCTTGATCTGCTCTTCCATCATCCACTCGATTTCCCAAAACATGTAGATTATTTCTTCAATAAGAGAATCCGGGATACAATCCTTTTTACCAGCAGCTCTATCTGGTTCCGTCACAGATTTGACATCCTGTTTCTCAGCTGTGCCTGGTTCTGTCACGGATCTGTTTTCCTGCAGCTCTTTTATGACCTTATGAATCATTTCATTAACTAGGTCCTCGATGAATGCACTAATAGTGCTAGTGGCGGTGACGGCAGTGGCTTGCTTCGAATCTTGCTCACGGATCTGGAGGGGCTGCGTGCTGGCCTCTGGGAACAACTTCCTTAGGATGTGTTCATAATGGGCTTGATCGAGAAGAATTGGCTCTGCGCGTGCTTCTTCTCCCCTACGCTCTTTGGGCTGCTGTTTTTGATCTGCATTTTTCCCCATATGCTGCTTAGGCTGCTGTTCTTCATCTGTATTTTGTTCCATATTCCCATTATTAGGTTTTTGTTTGTCATCTCTATTTTGTTCCATATGCTCTTTAAGCTTCTTGGCTGTTCCCTTGATGATATCTTCGTGCGAGGCTTTCTTCCTCTCTGAAGGTGTTGCTTGCTTCTTTTCTTGTTCATGTTTGATAGCAAGAGGTACACCGTCAGCTGGCTTGTGTTTGAGAACACACAACGCTCGGAGGATTACTCCTAAGGGTTCATCCTTAGAGGATTCCAGCAGGCCCAGCAAGTCCCGGTCGTCATGTTCCAGGTCCAGCTGCCACTGACTGCCCTTCATTTGTTCAACAGTTTTCATGATTTCTGAAATCTTTTTGCCAACCTTCATTCCTTCAATATCTTTGGTGATTTCATCAATCAGCACCCATTTTTTCGAGTTAATATCCTTTTTGTCCTGCTGGGATGGAAGTGGAACAGACTGCAGCTCCCGCAGTATATAGTAGAGAACGTCCTTGGTTCGAAGCAATTCAGAATAGAAGTGCACTGCTGGGATGTCGACCAAGACACTGTGCGTGCCATGTTCTCCCCACATTTTCCGAGCAACATCTGCAATAGCGCAGGTATCTTGCTCATCTGGTGCCACAATGGCGATGGATTGTATTGATTTCTTCTCAGCAGTGCTGCGTTGTGCAACATCCTCTATCCATTCAGCTAGCTTCGCCTTAACATTGTCCTCCGGTGTAGGAGGCTCAAAAAATGCCCCTCTTCGACCAGAATGATTGGTGGTCTTTGTTGCAACCACGAGTTGATCGTCATTATCTTCTTCTTCATCTCCGGAAGCAGCAGATGATGCTGCCGCATGCACCGCCGAGGACAGTGCAGCCGCGGGCGTGAGCCCAGCCCCTAGAGGCGAATGCTCCGGTCCTGCCCCTTTCGCTGGTACCTCGACGCCATATCTATAACATGCCAATAATATTTCATTAGAAGGAAATTTTTTGACCTTAACCGAAACAATATATGAAAACGAATTAACTTCTTAAATGGTAAGCTTTCCTAATCAAAGACTTTTGTTGGGTTTATATCGTCAGAAAAGTAGTTTATTTAGTTGACAGTCTGGACGAGGGGGAAGTGTGTTGGAAGTTTTAATAAAATTCATGTACAACTTAAAACCAATTAGATTTAGATTTTTTATATAACAAACAAAACCTAGAAATTGGAGAATAATCTAGTCTCTTTGTTTTGCGAATAGTAGAATAATCTAGTCACCTGGATAAATTTGTTTTTTAAGCTGTAGTCGCTCGGTAGCTAAGAGCATCTCCAGTCGTTGGCCCGCAAAATCGCCCCCTGGGGGCGCACCGGCGCAAACCGCATGGTGGGGGCGTGATACCCCCCAATCGCGGCGCCCAGACATTTTTTTTAAAACCACAAACTAGGCGCAAATTCAACCAAATTTCGCAAATTAGGCGCAAATTCAACCAAACTTCGGCGAGTTCATACATATTTAAAATATTTTATAAAAAGGGTAAAAAAACGTTAATAGAACCGCCGTCACCCTCGCCGCTCCTCGCCGCCCGCCGCTCTTGAAGCTCTACATGCCGAGGAGTCTGTAGAACTACGTGTAGTCGCCGCCGCCGTCGTCGTCGTCGTCGCTTCCTCCGCGGTCGCCATCCCTGCTGCACCCCTCCCAGGTTGGCGCGGCGGGTTGGACGGTCCGGGGGCGTCCTCGTCCTCGGAGCTGTCGAGGATCACCACGCCGTGCTCGTCCTCGCGCCCACGCTTCCGGGCGGCTATCTCCTCCAGGGCTCGGCGCTGCCGGACCATCTCGTCATGGAGGTAGTCGTCCCGCGCCCACTTTAGGGCCTCCTCGTCGGAGAAGCCGCGCCGGGCTATCTCCTCGTACTTCGTGGGGAAGCCGGGCTCCGCCTTCGGCCTGACGAGGACGAGACGGTCAGAGGTGTGGGGGGGAGGAGTCGGCGATGCGGACACCGGAGATGCGGGTGCGGTGGCTGACCGGCGTATACTGGGGCTCCGACTTGACGGGGCGGAGGCAGGGAGAGCCAGCCGAGCGGCCAGACGAGGAGGAGGACGCCCCCGGCTCCATGCGCCTCGGCGTCCACGAGCTCCCACGCCGGCGGGAGAAGGACGGGGAGCGGGGTACTCCAGCATGGGCGTGTTGCCGCCCTCGATGTACTCGAGGACGGCCTCCAGCGTGCGGCCGGGCATACCCCACCATCGGCGGTGGCCTTCGGAGTTGAGCCTCCCGGAGGGCACGACGCCGTTGGTGGCCTCGAGCTGCTCTGCGTGGCGGCGGCGGAAGTAGACCTCCCACAGCGGGCTGTCGGGGACGTACCATGGGCCTTCCCTCGCCTCCTGTAGCAGAGAGGTGCAAATACGCGCGATCTCCGCACGCCGCACAGCTCCGGTGGGCGGTGGTGTCACCGGGACCCCGCCGGCGCTGATCCTCCACGCCCTGGGCACCCGCATGTCTGACGGGACCGGGTACTCAGCCTCATAGAGGACCCGAGCTCCGTCCTCGTGGAGGTGGCGGCGGCCGAAGCCGTTCGCCGCCGCGCCGTCGCCTGGGAAGCGCTCGGCCATGGTTGAAATGGAACGGCCAGAGGGGAGGGAGGGACGGGGGAGGAACGGAGGCGTCGACGGGAGGAACGGAGGAGTCTGTGCGTCAGCGGCGCCTGGGGGCAGTTTTATATAGGCGGAAGCGTTGCGGGTATGCGTGGCCACCGTGTTACGCGTGGCGGGCGAGGAACGTGCGTCGTCCGGTCTTCGCTGCACCGCCCGTGAGGCATCAATGGAGGAGGCTGACCGGCGCGACAGCGCGCGGCAGCTTTGGCATTGATTCGCCGCGGGAACCGAGGCGATGAGGACGATGAAGCGCCGGGAAGAGGCCGAGTCGCTGCCAAGGAGGGCCCGCCGACTTTCGCGCCAAAAACGATTCGGCCGGCGCCCCCGAGCGCCCCCAAGCGCGCCGGGTTCGGCTTGGGTCCGCCGGCGCCAATTTCGGCCCGAGCCGGCGAAAACTGGGCCGATTTTTTGACGCCGACAGCTGAAAAATCGCCTGGGGGCCTTGTTGGGGGCGCGGCTGGAGATGCTCTAACTACCTGCCATGATATGTGTGAGGCAATCACTACTGGAAAACAACCGGATTCCAGTATTGCAAGTACTCCCACCGTTCGAAAATAGATGACTCAACTTTGTATTAACTTTAGAGTACGTTTGTAGGATTGTTGTGGGCACACTCCTGACTTAGTAGGTATTAGAGTTGTGTTGAATATTATTGTACAAGATAGGTTATAGTTGGACTTGGAGTCGTATGGTGTGTAGACAAGATATGAAGTCGTGTTCAAGTAGAACACTTGTATCCTAGACCTGTTATATATATCAGGGGTAGACACACAATGTAAACTATGCCAACATAAAAACATGTGATTGTTTGGTTTTCGATAGATCAACGATGGCTTCGAATTTATTCTAACAGTGGGGAGCATGGTGCAAGCAATGGCTTGTTTTCCCTATCTCTAAGATAGAAAGGAAGTCAACAAAAAAGCAAGAAGGTTGACGAAAATACTCCAAGTATTCGTTGTTGGACCTGATAGGAGCAGCCCCTTCTTCTTCCTCTAGAACTGCCCTCACAGCTCACTAACGAACACGAAGAAGACAGAAGATTTTTTTGCCGCTGCAACACATCCGGCCTTTTCTCTCTTCTAACTATTCTCTTGGTCTTACGAAAGCAAAGTTATTACATATATCTATATCTATATCTATTTATAACTATATGTATATATAAATCTATACCTACTTACTTTACTAATAAAAGGGATATCGCTTTTTGTCACCGTAATTCCGTCCGTTTTTTGTCCGTCCACCCCATCTTCAAGTCATTAACTATTTATAAGATTTTGTATTATCCAATGTGGTACTAATTTTGTGCGCAAACTCGTCTATAATAATAATGACTTCATCACGGGCCTGGGCCTTGCCCTGCCACGGCCGACTAGAGTGGCGGCCCAGGCAAACCGTGAGAAGAGGCAAAAAAAAAAAGACAATTTCCATTCGGGGGAATGGAAGTCCGGACCTACCTTTCGTTATAAAGGTTTTGTTCCGCTTAACCTGGTCATCCATGTGTGCTATTAAAGGCTTCCTAGATTTAGTTAATAGTTTCACCTCGCTTCTTTACTCTCTACGGCACCAATTTATATACGTCTTTGATTTTAAGCCTGCAAGGCGGCTGCGAGATTCAATGAAGAGCGGGGCGAGGAGCAGCCAGGCTACAACCTAGATGAACAAGGAAAGCCAATGACGTGAGGTGGTTCGAATGAGTAATCTATGGTAGCGGCACATCAAGCTTGATCCCGTGGAACTTCGCCGCCTGGCGGCACCTTCACCGTCGACGACCGTCGTGATCCACAAAAATCGCCAGACCACAAGCAGACCGACGGGGCGCGAGACACGCTCTGGGAGTTAGACCCTAGAGAAGTCCATGGGGTCTGCCGCTCAGCGTGGCAGAGCAGAAGCATTAGACGTGGACGGCAAGCAGGGTGCCCTGCAAGTCGCTCATGTCTGTCGGTCCCGTAGTCCGTCCGCCAACCAGGAGGTGTGGTGGAGGTTCGAGCTGCGTGTGGCCGCACTGCTCGCCGACATCACGGCTGCCAGTGCCGCTCGGTGTGTGGCCATTGTGTTACTGGGCGGTGGCCTTGTGGTGGAGCGACTGATCGAGAACATCGTGTGATGAGACGCCACGCAAGCAGACTGCAGGGCCGCTCACGAACGTGCTGGCTAACCACTGTTGTACTCGGCTGGCGACTAGCCACAAGCGGTGTCCTACCCACTGTTTTGGTTACCGGTCGAATTTTCAAGATTTCCCATGGTTACTGTGTATTTCGGTGACCCTCGGTAAATCGCCATACCAAACAAAAAATATCATTTTTTTGAAATTTTTGAATTTAAACACTCGATTTACTGTAAAGTACGTAGGATCTAATTAATGCCATGAGAGTTCGTTTTGGCATGTTGGTAGCAACCTAGTTCGTGTTTTGGGAAGTCTCTGGTTCGAATATTCGTTCATCCACTTATTTGAATTCAAAATTCAACTACAAAATTCACTCAAAATATTCTCAGTATTTGTCGGTAACCATGGTAACCACATTTACCAGTCCCTTCGGTAAAATTGCCTCGTTGGGTAACCAAAACCTTGGTCCTACCTCCTTCAGTTTATCTTCTCCTACAATTCTACGAGCCGAACCGTACGTGATAAAAAAAAGGTGATTATTTTCGACTATTAGCCATGCTGCATGTCGATTTTTGTGCCCTGCCTCTTTTAGTTTAACATATATATATGATCTTGCCTGTTCAGCTGCCCCTACTGGTAGAAGGCCCCAACATGTCCTTGTTTCTATGTTTATCTTGCTTTGCTCTTTTTTTAGTCGTTTTTAGGGAATTTTGGAAGTGGAGTATTCAATGTGCCAACCGCTGCTATGAGAATGTTTGATATGTTGGATTTTAGTTTTTTTAATGAAATTAATATCCAAATGATTTAGAAAACTGTCAAATACTATTCCCTGATTTCAGAATTTTGATATTCCTATAACCTACTAGGATTTAGGATCTTTTAGTAAACAAAAACTAGAATTTAGGATTCATATATGAAGGAGATGTGCATCTACCATAATTTGAGCTCTTCCGGTAGAGATAAAATTTTAACTTCATTTTAGATGATGAACATGATGGTATTTATGGTTCGCCATATAACTGAATAGAGAAAATTAATAAAATGAATTTAAGTTGCTAAGTTGTATTTTCTTTTTCTTTTTTTTGCGGATAAGTTGTATTTTCTTTTATGATGCGGTGTCAGCAAGTTGAGAAGGATAATAATTAATGACACGTGTAAGGGATTTTTTTCTCCCGTTGCAACTCACGGGCACTTTTGCTAGTACAACTTAAA